AGGGGGGGGGGGGGGGGGGGGGGGGGGGGGGAGAGGGAGGGAGAGGGAGAGGGAGAGAGAACATCGATGCTTTCAATATAGAAGGTATTAGCGGCCACATGGATGCCTCTAGAAAGTCGAGAACCAAACAGTTCGGGAAAAATCCCGAGGGTGCACTTGTCGATGGCATCTTGCCTTCCGCACAAGGACCACAGAGATGTAGTTTGGGGCCATACGCACAGCTCTGAAATCTCCGGAGGTGCATGGGTCTGGACGGGCTCTCGGAATTTTTCAGGGCATATGCTCACAGCGCAAGAATTTTGGGAGTGTGTTCAGGGCCCTGCATATTCCAAGAAATCAACACACTGTTTGCCACCCTGTGTGAACCTCCAGGCAAGTTTTGTTTCCAGGGATAGCTCAAAGCCTTCCACATGCTAGTTTCATTTTTCTTTTGGCACATGTGTGCATTGCCCCACAAACTGGTTTCAGGGAAGGTCTTGGAAAGAGTTATGGGACTTATGTGGCAGACAAGAACAATGGCTAGTTCATTGCGCGTACAGACAATGGCTAGTTCATTGCACATACAGACTTTGTAAATACACACATAGAGACTGCGCGACTTCGCCGTTTCCGCATTGATACAAAAGAAGGTGGGTTCTGCAACAACAATTTGGCTTTCATCGTTCAGGAAAAAAAAAGAGGTCCAATTAGTGAGCACCGGCATTAAATTCTGACTTCTAAGCAAGTGGCGACTAAAGATACCGTCAAGCTCGACTCAAACATATAGAACACATCCCGAAAAGCAGTCAAAGAGTGTGTAAATCCCAGCCCACTGCAAATACCAGCAGTCGACAAGCCCCGGCAGACGGGATGGAATCCGATCGATGCACCACATACAGTCTTGAACCACCAGCACACGTTCTCCTAAAATTGCAAAGGCTCGGGGTAACCAGACCCAAAAAATGGCTGGCGGCGCCAGCCCAAATGAAAACAAAAGTGATCCGCCGGTGTTTTGGCAAAGCTTGGTGCGCAGGGGGAATCCGCCTCGTCTAATAAAAGACAGCCGGACGTACTGGTGGTTTACGAGGAGGGAGAGAGGAAAAGACAGGGGGTGGACAAGAAGAGAAGGAAGAGGATCAGGCCTTCATTTCGGAAACTCATAAGCGGCACTCGGGGGGACGGAAAACAAAGAACTTCTCATAGGCTTTCAGCAGATGATCACTTCAAACAAAATGGCACAAGATAGCAGATCTAGAAGCCTACTGACCTTTCCCTGCACTGCACATCGGTTCTTCCAGGCACATGTGCTGCAATCTTACTCCATTGCTTCACACCAAACATCCCAATTGCATGGATCAGAGCCTTGTCCTCCTCCGGTAGCCATTTCCCCTTCCTGATGTCCGGTTTCAGCCCTTTCGTCCACCTATTCATTCAAAAACGAAAAAAAAAAACAGAGCCATTGTATTCCTCGAGGACAGAACTGAGTTGCCATACACTGATAATTCTATTCACATTCTGAAATTAAGACTGGAGTGAACCTACCAACGAGCCTAGCTCAGTTGGTACACCCATGAACTGTTGAATTACAGACCCAAGTTCGAATCCTGATGGACCTTGATGAATGCCACGAAATAATGCTTAAAAAAAAAAAAAAAAAAGAAAGAAAGAAAGACAGGAGTGAACCTGAATCTAGCGCTCACAGTGAAATCTTGGAAAGCCATTTAGCCATCAGAAAAATGGGAATAGCAAACATACACAGAACGGAGAGAGAGAGAGAGAGAGAGAGAGAGAGAGAGAGAGAGAGAGGGAAGCGTACAAAATGTGCAGCTGTTTGATCATGCAAAGACGGCAGATATGGCACCTCTCCTCAAGAAACAGTTCGATTGAGAAACAAGTTCAAACTTCAAACAACACGTCATGGAGGGTTTTTTTTTTTTTTTTTTTTGCAGTAAGCTACAGTAACTGATGCCATTTTCCCTTTTTTGGGGGGAGTATTTTGTTTGTTCCATCAAAATGTTCTCAAGTAATAGAATCAAAACGTATTTCAGTAAAAACCTGTATAAAAAATCGTCCTTCTTTTCTCTTTTTCTCAGTCTTAATAGCCGCTTTTTCTAACTCCGAGTCCTCCAGACATTTGGTTTCATGACAAGACCTCAGATATGGCACCTCTCCTCAAGAAACAGTCTGACTGAGAGAGAAACAAGTTCAAAGAACACGTGTTGGAGAAGACTCAAAGGTCGCTGGCACACATCAACCACTAGAGGCAAGTATAGTGCCATCCTGCTGCCAGTGTCACAGCCCTTAGCAAGCGCCTCCTACCTCAGCAGCTGGGTATGGCTTCTCTCTCACATTTACCACTATTCCAGCCTCTGCCCAACTGCCTGAGATTAAGGCAACGCTGCGCCGGTCCAGCAGCAGCTACAGGAACGAATCGAATGGAACTGCCAGTATCCAAGCAGCACTGCTCAGTGAATAAAATGCTGTGCAAGTACGGCCCACCTGCGTCAGGTACATCGGCGGCCAAGGAGGGATGTCATGTGCCCCATTCGAAAGCCAGACACAAGTTTGGATCTCAAACAAACGTAGAGCCTCTGTGCTGAATCAGCAAGCTCACCCGCTCCACAGTCCAAGTGACTTGCGGTGTACGTCCATCGCCACAGGACAAACCCTCAGATTTAAGTTCTTTTTGGTGCTTAAACGCAAGTCAATTGTTGATTGCAAACACTAAACATTGCTTTTGGAGGGGTCATTATTGTACTCTTGCTTCCGAGTCGAAGCCAGCCAACCATCAGGTTGTTATCACTCACACCCAATATTCAACCACCAACTATCAAATGCTGCCTGCTCATATTGGTCGTCTTACTTCTCACCTATCCATGAACACAGGTTTAGACTCTTCACTAGTCTTTAGAGCATAAACACGTTCAGAATTGCAAGATGCAAAGGGGGGTGAGCCAAGACGAAAAGGGGCTTTGGGCTGGGGGGGGACGGCAGGGGTGCAATTGTAGGAGGGCCAAATGCCAAACCAACCTGTGCAAGCACTGGTGTCCTGTTCTCCCTGGGACACATTGTGCGATATCCTGCCAGCGATGTTCTCCGTACTTTCGAACAGCTTTTCGGAGGAGCTCATCCTCCTGAGGAATCCATTTGCTGTTCAGGATCTGCAAGTCGCAGCCCAAATTCAGCAAAGAGAAGTCAGCATCCTACTTGCATGCAGATTTGCTTCAGAGTCCAGACTATTAAAATGAGGGCTTAGGATGCGGATCAAATTGGATTCTCGAGTCAAGAATGCATATGGATCTCTCATCAGCTTTTTGCTGAAAGATCAAGTGCAATATCTTCTCTGAGCCGTTTAATGTCTGATTGTGGTCCATTTAAGACCCAGCAGGGGCGGCGGGAGGGGGGGGGGGGGGGGAGAAGGGAAGAAATGAAGGATAGGAAATCGCCATTTCATCAGCCTTTCTGTCTCCCTGATGGAGCGTTTGCATTCCAGGGACTACAAGATGGGCCTAGCTCAGTTGGTACACCGATGAACTCTTGAAATACAGACAGTTCGAGTCCACATCGAACTAAATGAATGAAATTGAAGAACAAAACGTTGTGCATTCAGTCTAGACCCTGAGGCCCCAGTCCGTGTTTATGGCGTTGGGGTACTCTGCAATTCCTGCGGAGTCAGTTTGAAAAAATATTTAAAAAAAACATAGCTACGATCCGGACCACCGGACAGGGATCCGGACCGTCCGTGGTCCGGGGTCCGGGGTCCGGGTCCAGATCTTGATCCGGATGTGAGGTTCCCAGCCCAATGGCCAAATTTTTTTTGGGTGGTCCAGGGTGTTTTTTCACGCCCTGGGCCACCCCAAAAAAATAGTTTACCACCCTCACCGACGATCCAGACGGCCCGGAAAGTCTACGAGGGGGTTTGTAAATCTGAGTATTAATGTCCTCATTGTGTCCAGCCTCTTTTCCGAAGGATCCCTCCAGCGGATTAGCTGGGACCCTACGTCATGCAGAGGTGCAACTCAAACGTGTACTTTGTGAGCGTGGGCAGAGAATATATAGTCTATATTCAAATTCAGGTCTGTGCATCTCGGTTATGGGTCACTATTTCTGTGTTTTCTCGTTTTGCTTTCCTTTTCTTGTTTCTCTTTTCTTCTCTCGTTTTTCTTTTCTTTTCTCGTTTTTCTTTTCTTAGGAATACGTGCAGTGGCCCTAAGGGCCTCTACTCACCAAATGCACAAAAGACAAAACATATGGTGGCGTATTATTCCACGTTCTGCAGAAGATTCATTCAAATTTTGCACATTTCGTGAGTAGTGCGGCCAAGCCCTAAGACTCGCGTGCAGAGACCAACAGGTCCTAGCTACGCGAGCAACCCATAACTGCTGAAACACAGACCTGAACTCGAATCTTGAGTATATATTCGGGCAGCTCATGCTCTACTTCATATC